CCGCTGAGTGGCATTAAACAGCTTGAAAGATCAAAGACCATTTTTAATATAACTCCGACTGGATTCGTCTGAAAGAAGGAAGTCAGTAACACCTAGGATGACTTGAGGGTGAGTAATTAATGGGCTAATTTTCATTTTTGGGTGAACTAACCCTTGAAGAGGCTCTTTATACTGACAACATCTGAATCAGTGTAAGAGCACTAATACATTCATGAAGTTAGGATTTACACATGAATGCATCTGATATCCATCCATTTAATGGAAGATTCTTGTAGTCTAGGATACGTCTGTTCAGTTTGACAGCACTTTTTCTTTTCAGATTTTGTTTACTGCCTGGAGGATTGCGTTAGTTGCTCAGATTGTGAAATCGAAAGACACTTGATGCGGTTTGGGAGACACCTGTGCTCTGCGGCGGCATGTGTCGGTTTGCATGTACACGTTTGTTTGACGTGCCTGCGGTCCGGTTCCCGGTCCCTGGTGAGGATGAGGCGACACAGCATAAGATCTAGAAAGCACATGTATCCCAGAAAAAAAGCCTTTAGTTTGTTTTTGTGACCACTGAGTACCCAAAATTAAATTGGAGGCTGGTGACTCTTTACGGTCATCGACCTTCTGCATGTTAACCATTTATATAATTAGTCAAATCAGATCGGCCTTTCCTTTGTGAACAATATGTATTTAATATAAATAGCCTACACAAGCAGTCAAACGTTTGGAATAATTAAGATTTTTTAAACTTTTTTTTTTACGTAGTCTCTCATGCTAACCAAAGCTGCATTTGTTTGTTCAGAAATATAGTAAAACAGTAATATTGTGAGTATTACTAATTTAAAATAAAGGTTTTCTATATATTTGAAGATATTTTAAGATATAATTTATGCCTGTTATGGCAAAGCTGGATTGCGAGCATCATTACTCCAGTCTTCAGTGTCACATGATCCTTCAGAAATCACTCCAACTAGTCAAATAATATATTTTCTAAATCTTCATGACAATTTCCTACTGTAAAATGTTAACTTTTAATGCATTGAAAGCTCGCCTGGTTTCTGTGCAACTCTCCCAGTTCAAAACGAGGAAGCACAAGTAGGATAGAAACGCCAGCGCTGATGATCGTGTTGCGCATGCGCGACACCGCTCTAAAACTACATCTAAAACTCTAAAACTCGCTGCTGTGTGGCTCCGCCTCCCGGTCGACGTCACTCGCGGCCACGCCCCCTGCGAGAGCACAGATTCCATAAATCCTGAAGAGCGCCTTTACTACTGTATGTGAGACGCACCGTTTACAAACATGCGCTGCAAGATGAGTTATTGCCTGCCGTACTCCCCTGGATCCTCTCCTACATACTCTGGGAGGTTATTATCATACAGAGCACGATGCAGGTAAACGTTATACATTTACAGCAGGATTACAACGCGATGCTTTTTATTAACTCTCGAGTTGTTGCTTTGTCGCCTGATGTGCTTGTGCTTCGGGAGGCTTTTCTGAAAAGACGCTGCTTTTCTCAGTTATGAATCTGTGTTGTAAACACAGTTGTGTTAAATGTGGGTTTATGTGATATTAGATTTGTGAATGAATGTTGGGTTGTATTGCGAAATGAGCTTGTAAAGACATGCATGTCACGTACGCAGCGTCTCAGTAGCGCGAATGAACACGAATACAACTAAACACTTGTAGTGTACTTTACAGGTTGTACGTTTAATACTAAAACACTAATGCATGCAAGGTGTTTATTAAGCGAAGTATAATTATTTATGATTAGTTTGCGTTAAAGCCTCGGTTGTTTTGATCGTACGCTAGAAATCTAAGCCGCGTTATTGCGCAACGAGTCGTAAAACTCAACTCGAGGCGTTTAAAAAAAGATTTACTGTTTAACTTGTCGTAAAAACGCAGTGTTCGTGGCACAAAATGCGTCCTGACGCGCGTTTATATTGATGGTGAGCAAGAACGCGTTCGGTGTGAACGGCCACTAACAGTAGCCTATTAAAGACGTCTACTTTTTTCTTCTGTTTTTGTTTATAATGGATAAATGCACTTGATATTTAGCTCTGTCTGTTGGTAGTTTTGTTTTAAACGTTTGTACTTTGCAATAGTATTATACCTTCATAACTTAATTATTTATGCACAAGTTCTGAATATATTTCCTAATGCGTAATGGATTACTTGACGGGTTGTTTTGAAAGTGGAGTATGCGCATGCCTCATTTCTATCTTATCTCGGAGCTCTCAACACGTGTATGATTTTACATGATATGTGCTGATAAGCATAACAAGGAAATGTCATCTAAATTCACCATTGTGAAGTGTTGCACACTGATAGTTGGAAGTGTGATTCAGCCGAGATTATGTAAGGTGCTTGACAGGACTTGCATATTCCTTAGAAGAGATCTCAGTGTAAACTCTTTGTTTTCTTTCTGCAGTGCCTCTGGCGCCAGTGTTGTGGCCATTGATAACAAAATAGAGCAAGCTATGGTGAGTATTTTAATGGTTTCTTTAAAAAAAAAAATACATTTCTGAATTTAAAATAATTTAGATATTTTACTTGGGACATAAAGGAAAGAACCATTAAGGTTATGCAATTGTTTAATGCATGTTCTGCAAGACCGCCCCTTTCCATTAAACATATTTTATTGGAATGTCCCGGTTTTAATGCAAGTACAAAACTTTTTTTTTTTATTTTTTATTTTTTTTTAGAAGTACGCTCACTCAGGGACTTTAGTACGATTTTACCAGAAAAGATTTTAGAATTTTTATCATATGTTAATTATTATTGTATAATTTTAACTGCTGCATTTTTGTGTTTGCTTGGTTTTTATTTTGTGTTTATGTAACTCTATTGAATCATCCCGACTCAGTTTTTGCCATGATGATAGCCTTAGATGCTGACAAGGCATTAAAATAAATAACTATGCAAGTGTCTAAATAAAACATTCTTGAAAAGAAAAGCTTGTTAAGTAGTTTGTTACTATTAAAAAAAACTTTTTGCCTGCAGAATCAGTCATTTTATGACAAGGGAAGGATATTTTTCGGTTGTAAAATTGAATATGGTGTGACTCCACCACAATATAATGGTATTTATAAATTAATAATTCATGATATTTGTAAACAATACTTTTTGAAAACCTAATAATAATGATTAAGATGTGCAAAACGTTTTACTATCCATTTATTTATTTATTTGATTGATTGTTATACCACATGACATTTTTGGAGTCATTAAATTAAATTTTTAAAATCCATATAAAGCCAGAATAAATATAAAGAGTGCATTTCTAATAACAAACTCAATGTAATCAATCCCAATGTTGGGAGATAAAGTTTTATAGAAATATTTTTCAGGTTGATGGGACCAGATTGATTTGCTAATTCTAGTTTTTATTATTAGGAGAAGATCCACCAACATATTGTTTTTGTCAAAATGCCTTATCCCTGAAACATGTTTTATTAGATAGTAGGGCTGGGTTTTGACACAAATTTCATGATTCGATTCTCATTCACAAGCTTTCGATTCGATCCAATATTGATTATTTACTTTTTGAAAACCTAATAATAATGATTAAGATGTGCAAAACGTTTTACTATCCATTTATTTATTTATTTGCTTGATTGTTATACCACATGACATTTTTGGAGTCATTAAATTAAATTTTTAAAATCCATATAAAGCCAGAATAAATATAAAGAGTGCATTTCTAATAACAAACTCAATGTAATCAATCCCAATGTTGGGAGATAAAGTTTTATAGAAATATTTTTCAGGTTGATGGGACCAGATTGATTTGCTAATTCTAGTTTTTATTATTAGGAGAAGATCCACCAACATATTGTTTTTGTCAAAATGCCTTATCCCTGAAACATGTTTTATTAGATAGTAGGGCTGGGTTTTGACACAAATTTCATGATTCGATTCTCATTCACAAGCTTTCGATTCGATCCAATATTGATTATTTTGGATATGCTATATATCAGGTACAGTACATGCCAAATTTTCTCAAGGAAAACAAATCTCTCAACTAATGCTGTAAAATATACACGAGAGTCAGTTGGTACTACATTACTATAATATTGAAGGTTATAATTTACTGATTTGTTAAAATTACACTTAATGAAGTTTTTAAAATAAAGTTACAATTACATAATATTTCTACTTCAGTTCGTTTTTTTAATATAAACATAATGGTGGCTGTCGATGGATTTATTCAAACATAAATGAAACATTGAAGAACAGTAAAATGTATAATGAATATGTTATTTGGTGCATATATTAAGCAACATGCCCCTCTCTACAGTTTATTTTTCTATCTGACTAATGAGTTCTTGGTCACTGAATCTGTTTTTCTGAGGTAAATGTGACGTTACGTGACATTGTTTACAAGCCGTTATATTGACGTCTTTGCGCGGCTGAAACACAGATTGAGCGATTACATGAGACAGATACGGATTGTAAAGTTGTACTCATTCTTTTAACTTACCTTCGGATGTTTAGTCATGTTTATTTTGTGCTGAAGCTGGTATTAATGTGGAGGAGACGATCAGTTCACTGAGGCGCTACAGCGATCTGTCACTCCACATTAAACAGCGCCAAAACTGCATTTATTGTTTGAATATTGCAATACAATGGACAGAATTTGAAATCTGATACATTGTTTCATATTAAAAGCACCAAAGCACAATACTTATTGAGATTTATTGGATGGGAAGTGCCCTTCAGTGTTCCGTCCATTAACTGAAAACAGGCGAGACTAATCGATTCTTGGGATTTAAGAATCAATATCGTTCCGTAAAAAAGAGAATCTATTAATATCGAGAAATCTATATTTTTTACCCAGCCCTATTAGATCGTGCTGGTAAGCTAAGCCAAATATAATTTTAGAGTTTTAAGCAAAAATGCGTCTGATATAATTCACTATAAAATTTCCTCGCAATAAAAATAGCCACAGAAGCTGGCATGACGTAAAAAAATAATGAAACGTTTGACTGACCACCGTTGTGCTCTCCTCAGGATCTTGTGAAAAGCCATTTAATGTACGCCGTGCGCGAGGAAGTGGAGGTCTTGAAGGAGCAGATCAAGGAGCTCTATGAGAGGAACTCGCTTCTGGAGAGGGAGAACGCAGTATTAAAATCTCTGGCCAACACTGAGCAGCTGACCCAGCTCAACAACCTCGGCAGCACTTCACCCCAACAGACGGCGGTCAACGCCATCCTACAGGAAGGAAGCAAACTCGTGGCCTTGCCCCCGCAACCCAACGTGTCCACAGCGTGAAGAACAACAAAAAAATGACAATCTGCAAAGGAGGTTTTGGTTTGCCACTTGCAGAGAGCCATGCTTCGTTATACGCGCTGCTTGGCTTTCCCAGTATTAGACAATCATTTTGGGAGAAGCAGACTTGGCTCCATGACGGGTGCGGTAGCTTTCTGTGGGTATGGGCTGCTGGCAGGCGCGGGCGAAAGAGTTCAGTAGATTTAGCAGGAAGCTTCATGTGTATAGATTGTAAAGTATTAAAGTATGTTGTACAGGTGAGCAGCAGTTATCAAGTATTTTCCTTTCGGATTTAATTAAGTATACTTGCTATACTTTCCCTAAGTACTTAAATTCTGATTTCCAATTCTGATACATTTTGTATTTTAGGAGCTGTGAATTAGTTCGTACGACATATTTGTAACCAAAGAAGAAAAGCTGTATTTGTTTTGTAACGCACATTTTCTTGTTGCTTTTTTTTTTTTTTTTTTTTTTCGTCATTGAATGCAGAAAGAATGTAATGTCTTTGGTT